GCCTTAATGGGTTTATAATTTGGTTGCTAGTGGGCCAAGAAGTAGAAGCGCTTCATCTCCTTGATTTTGACCCCTCATGCCTCAAATGACACTGCCATGAAATAGGCCCAAGAGAAAGCTGACTTGCGTCTTTGGCACCGTCCAGAGAAATGGCATTCTTTCTTCAGTGTTGACTGCTGCTGGGGAAGATTGTAAAGGATGAGTTGGGCTTGTTTTCATGGAAAAATGAAAGGATTAAATGAAAATGAAAAATCATTTGTTTCTTGTTTGGGAAAACATTTGCGTCAAACTCTTAATAGCATGTCTGCCACTGGCACAGCTTAACCCGCAGTGGACCAGCCAAAAGGGCCGTTGGATCGTCTTTCTCAGGATAAGAGTCAGGCATGATGTAGCAAAATGCAAAATATGGAGATGGATTCAAATGACAGCGGCTCTAGTTAATCCTAAAACCACAGGCACTACTGTCACTGGATCACGCGAGAATGTTTCCTGGCTTACCAGTGTACCGTTTTACTTCTTGTTTTCAACAAACAGGAGGATTTCAAAGATAACTTCAAAGAGTGTTCCGACAGTGGGACTTTTTTACAAAAATAAGAGGACTCCTGTGATTTCAAAAAGACAGCTGACCCATTTTTATGGTTATAGGAATGAATCTGTATCAGGATACAAACATCTGCCATAACCATTGGGGACTGAGCCCTCCCAGTAAGTTGACCTCAGTCAGACCTCACATCTAAAATTCCTGTAAAATACAGAACAGCTATCTCTGAAAAGACATAGTAGATTTAGGGATAGATTTAGGGATTGGTCACATATGGGCTTTATTTTATGGCCCACCATTAGAAGTATGTGTATGTGTGTGTGTGTGTGTGATCTTAAGCTTCTAAGGCCAGAGTCATTAAATAATAGGAAACGGCCTCTAACCAAGTCCCTCAGGAAGTTTAAATGGCAGCGAGCAAGGAAGCAGTGACCTTTGTGACACTGTTCTCTGGACCTCGTAACCTCGCCTTTGCCAGCACAGGAAGTTCCTCATTCGCCAAGTCTAAATACTGATCAGTGGAGTGACCCCTTCAGCCAAAGCACCCATCGTAAAGTTTTGCCTGCCTTTATGTGCGGATTAGGAATGTTTCTCTTTTCCATGTGTTGTTAAGCTTGGTTTACAAGTTTACTTCCTTAAAGTTCTGAGCAGGTGTAGCTGTTCTCCAGCAAAGCTGTTTACTGTCTTGAATTGAACTTGCATCAGTTTGAGACGATAGCCTGAAGAAGCCCATCAAGATTTAGGTTCCTGGTTACGTTAAATGGATGATTTTTGTTTTTACGTTAAAGATTGATGGGCTGACTCGGTGTTGCGTGAGGAATTGCGGTGAAACAGTTTCGGGGCCACATCTGGTTTTTCACTGACACGTTTGGACATCAGTTTTGCATAATATATTTCTTGTTTGTTTGGTTTTTTTGGCATATTCGTGTCTGAGCAGTCTGCAGCAAGTCAGCCAAAAACAACTTTCTTTGTTTTGAGCATCACTTAATTGAAGACTAAGTGGTTTGTTGACACCACAGTGACATCAAATTGCAGTGAAAATGACTGTTTTTATTGTTTTTATCCTTTGATAAGTAGCTTATGCTACAGTATGTTTGCCGCTTTAGCCCCCTTGATCTTGAGTTTGTGACTTGATTTTTATAAGCAATAGGCTGTTAATGATTTAGTTAAGAGGGAACTGGCTCCAAGCTCAGTTTCCTTTCTTTCTCTGTTTGTTGATGGCTGACTTCCTTTTTGAGTGTATTTTACGGATTTTGGAGCATGCATTGGGAGAGGTGTTGAATGACTATTGAATGGGCTTAACTCCTCTGTGTGTGTCTTTGTATTTTTATCAGAAACTGGGCAGCAGCATGCAATGTGAGGAAGGGACGGAATGGTTGCTGGAACTGCTGATGGAAGTGCAGCTGCAGCAGTACTTCTTACGGATCCGAGATGACCTTAACGTCACACGGCTGTCGCACTTTGACTACGTAAAGAATGAAGACCTGGAGAAAATCGGCATGGGTCGACCTGGTGAGACACAGTACCTGCGTGTATGTGTGTGTTTTTGTCAGTGAGTGAATGAGAGAACCGCAGTTTTGTTGTGCCAAAGAAGCTCATCCAGATGTTCATTTGGCATGTCTCTCTTGTGTGTTTAAATTTGTTGTCCTGCTAGTGGCTTCCAGTGTTAGATACTTAGTATAAATGTTCCTTATTCAAAGGAAAAATCCTACGGTTTATCTCCTGTGCTCTTTGTCTAATAATTTGTGACCTAAAAATGAACTACATCCCCATCAGCTTCGGTTTGTCCTGTAGTTTTAGTGCTAATTAGCAAATGTTATAACTCTTTCATGCTAAATTTAGATGCTGAATATATTTAACATACATTATAAGTCTTAAAATATTGATGTTGGCACTGCCTTTGTTACCAGGCTGTAGACTGTAGAAGTAGATATTAGCTTTTAGCTCAGAGCGGTGGTTTAGTGTAGCTAGATATCTGAAAGCATGGCTGTTGTTTAGTGGCTTGTTTTTATCAACTCTTTCAAGACTGGAAATGAGCGCGAGACACAGAATTTATGATTCCAAACTATGACTTCATAAAATCATCATTTACTATCTTCTCTGCTCATGTGTTTTATTTCCTAATAAAGCAGTACTGGCCTTTCATAGCTTAATGAGCAATTTTTATATTTATGATTACTTTTATTCTCTGTATGCATCTATACATAGCCTTAAGTATGACTCTTGTGTTCAGTAATGGCACTGTGTCATTTGGCTCACCCTTGATGTTGCTTGAACAAATCCTGCGTCACTAATGCACTTAATGTCATTACAAAGTCACAATTTGTAATTAGGTACAGTGAGAGTGGATATTAAACTGTCAGATCTTTTGTCTGCAGTGTGTATAAAGTGGATCACAGCAGAATTGTTCTAAATCCAGTTACTGAAGCCCTCAGGGCCTGTGCTTCACAGCCGCTTAGGACTAATTACACCCACTTCACATGCTCATATATTCCCTCACATGTCTCTCCACTGCACAGCTCACTGCTCTCTGCAGTTTTATTATCTTTTCTTCTTCCTCCTTCCCTTTGTTTTATGCTCTTTGTCTCATTTCATATCAAAGCTGGGTGTTTGGTTTTCTTCCTGTTGTGGTAAATGTGTTGAAATTCATTTTCATTTTCACTTTCACTCAGATTCCTCCTGATGGATCCTTAAGCAGTTGCAGTCCTCATTTGAATGCCTTGCCACTGACCTATTGCCTATTGTTTCTTCTTGACCGCAGGGCAGAGAAGGCTGTGGGAGGCCGTGAAAAGGAGGAAAGCCATGTGCAAGCGCAAGTCCTGGATGAGCAAGGTGACAGACATAGACGAGCACAGCACACATCAGAACTCAGTATGGTGGCACGGTATATTTGGCAGGATGTCGCCACTGTGGAATCCGTCTGGGTGTAACAGTGTGGATACATGACCACAGTAACCTGCGCCCTCCGCGCAGATATGATCAGCACCCTCTGAATGAATTCTGGCATCAGTACGTTGTAATCTGAGGGAAAGATGTTAACATAGTCGTGCTTAAAAGCAGCCTTTAACTTAATACTGCCTGTTAGTAGTGCAGAGGTTTTAAATCGACCACAAACATTGTGGTGAGGTGTCGCCAAGAGAAACTTTCCTTTCAATTAGCACATTGTTTTGTTTTTTTTTTAGACCTGCGATGATTATAGGAGAGTTTTTTATTTTTTATATAAAGAGGAATTTTTCTCCAGAGGACACACGAGGAGGGCCAGTGAGTCCATATTCAGATATAAACATACACACATTTGCAAGGCTATTTTTGCTAGGACATTCATTGACATTGCATTCCCTAGCTCCTAATCCTAAACTGAACCATGCCAGCTTAACTGCCTTAGCCTAACCTAATCCTAACTTAAGTGCTGGCCCATAAAAAGGGCCTTTTAAGCAAGGACCAGCTAAAAAGACCTCATTTTCCAAAATGTCCTCAGTGTAAGGCTCCCAAACTCAACTCAAAGTAGTTCTCATAAAGATAGTGGGACACACACACACACACACACACACACACACATCCTGTCACAGCCAGCTGAGGAAGCAGATTACTCTATCTGAGGATAGTGCCAGAGGCGGAAGCAGACAGGTGTAATTATAGATGGCAAACACCGTCCTGTGAGAACCACGGCTACACTCATCCAACACATGCGCACCCACACAACTGTGACGGCTTCTCCTCAGTATTCCTTCTCGATGGTTAATTATTTGCGTCAGTTAGTGTATTACATACCTCGCAGTTTTTGTGTCTTTTGATTACCCTTTGAGACTTTTATTAAAGGAAAGTGAAGAAGTAACTTAAAGCAAAAAAAGCTCTGTCTCTTTAAGGGGAATTTAATAAGACAGCATTTTGTGAATGCAGCTTGAGCCGAATCTGTGTGTCACCAACTCTTATGACTCCACTCGTGTGTGATTGTGTGTGTGTGTGTGTGTGTGTGTGTTTATGGGTCTGTGTGTGTGCGCCATAGTCAGAATTATTTAAATATCCAGCCCTCTATTTGAAACGAACGAACCACACCGTGACCACACAGAGGTGGTGTCTTTCAAAAAAGGTCTGCAGCATTATGTCATGTCTGGTCCAGTGTGAATGTGAAACCACATACCGCTCGCTACTGTTTATATCCAGCCAGTCAAATATGTTTGGCACTAGATATTCATTGACACCTCTTTTTTACTGATGACATAATAGTACTGACCTTATGTTCATGAGCCAATAAGAGATGTTTTTAAGTGAATCCGACATCACTGATTTGATATGTAATGTAGTATTTGTGTTACCACCGTAGGAGAGGCTCTTCTAGTGTTTTATCTGACATGTTATCGGCTTGATTTCATCCCTGCTAGCTAATATCACCACCAGTTTCTGTGAACTCCTATTTTGGTAAACAGTCTAATTCAAGTCCTCTAAACAAAGGCTTCCCTTGGTGGCGCCAAACGGCACACATATTTTTATGGGTTCGGATTTAGGAGACTGGGAATGAATCATTAACACACACGGACACACACACACACAAATGCAGGCATACAAACATAAGCACACAGAGCCATTCAGGTCACTTAATCTAATAGGGCTTCTTAATGAGTACTTCCTAACAGCTAAGTTATTCCTGCTGTGTTGTTAGTACTTAAGCCAAGAGGCAGGAAATGTCTAAGTATTTTGTGTGTGTGCAAAAACATGTGTGCTCATGTTAGTACACGTGCATGGAATTTTATTTACTTTTTCCACAAACGTCATGATGTTTTCTTTATGTGTAAGCTTCATTTTTAAAATTTAAACCATTAAAAGACCTCGCTGCACACACAAGAACTTGCAGTAATGGTTTTGAGACTGCTTGTCAGACTCTCACCATGGCATGAGTGTGCTTTTCAACCACCTGCTATTATACATAAATAGAAAAAGGGGGAACCAGGATGTAGAATGTTGCTGTTTATGCAAAATGTTAAATTATGCTCATATTTTTATGTTCTAGTGCCCCTCTCTCTGCTTTCACACGTCTTCATTTTTGTCTGTTTCTCTCCAGGTTTTTAGTGGCAAACGTCCAGATGGAGGAGACATACCCCAGCAGGGTCAACCGGCTTCCTCGTTTCGTAAGCTGTCTCCCACACCACCTCTGGGCGTCGGGGAGGGAGTCCTAGCCACGCAGCCCAGTGGTAGCGCTCTCCTCGACGGGCAGCAGCAGAGTCTGACCTGCCTCATCCCAGAGAAGGACTTGACGCTGTTTGAGAAGCTGGGCGACGGCTCATTTGGCGTCGTGAAGAGGGGAGAGTGGTTGACACCTGCGGGGAAGGTGGTGAGGAGGCATATTGTTATACAATTTATCCACAATTTAAAAAACAAAACAAATACATGTTGGAAATATGAAATAACTGGAGTGTGCTCACACAGTTCTTTTGCATGAAACATGTTGCTTGTTTGCATGTTGTCTAGGAACAGATAAAAGCAGGTGCATGAATGGGTTTTTTTTCTTTTGTTTTTTAATGGGATTTTTATGAGAACTTTTTAGACACTTTGAGTATGAAGAGAAGCAGAATCTGATGTTTGAACTCATCATTTTTTTAGCTGAACGTGGCTGTGAAGTGTCTGAAGACAGATGTGCTCAGCCAGCCCGACGCTCTGGAGGATTTCATCTGTGAGGTCAACGTCATGCACTCGCTGGACCATCAAAACCTGATCCGCCTCTACGGTGTGGTGCTCACACACCCAATGAAGATGGTAGTGGACACACAGAAATGCACACGCACAGGGAGAAATATACAGACAGATAAATGCGAGCGCACATAACCGTTTACAGTAGCTGCTTTACCTCGGGGCCGATATTCTCTGTGTATACTTGCCACATATGCAAATGCGAAAGGACAAAAGAAGCTTTGAGTTTGTCCGTTCTTTTCACCCATGCTCTATTTCTCTTTTTCACCTGCATGCTGTAGGTGACTGAACTGGCACCTCTCGGTTCTCTGCTGGAGCGTTTGCGCTGCGTTCGTCCTCAAGG